CTGCCTGCTCATCCAAACAGCCACAGCTTAAGTGTGGAAATCATAGTGATAAAAAAATCACAATGTTAAAAAAATAATAATCTGTGTCTGTCCTGCTGAGGTTCCTGGCCAGGCTACAGCCAGAGATGATTAGAGAAGCTTAGATAAAAATGAGCAAGTTGGACCCAGGCAGGTTTGAAAAACTAGCTGACTTTACTGAAGCAAACTCTTATTTAATCATTTGTCTGTTGCTTTAAAGGTGGCATATACTGCCAGGTAAGTGGGAATATGTTTATTTTGAAGCCCTGGGTAAATGTCATATAGAGGAATTAAAATGTCAATCTGTAGCTGCATTTGTTTAATGAAATTGTATAAACAAGACTGTGAGCACATATCATCTCACTCAAGCGCTATGTCTTCAAGGTGTTGAATCACTTGCCACTCCTTCCAGTGTTCAGCTGTCCCCACACTCAGCTGACAGAAGGGTCACAGGGGTGCTGATGGGACTGCTGGAGGCAAATTCCCCCAGGTTAGCTTGTCCGCTACTTCATCAACCTAACCCATCCTGCCTGCAGCAGCTCAGGGTTCTTGCAGGATGGTCTTGAGCTGTGGTCTGCCACCAAGGTCCAGGAAAGCAAGGATGTCTGAAACAGCTGTGGGGTGAGCATCTGACCACAGCCCCACGGCAGCAACCGGGAGCTAAACTGGAGCAGGCGTGGAGGTCAGCAGATAGGGGTTGACTTTATCTGTCTGACTGCCTGCATTGTTGCTTTGTTTAAAGGATGCTGTTCACTGCCATGACCTCCTTGCCCTAATTGTCCTGTGGTGTGCCTCAGGAAAGGGACACCTAGCATCACCTTGGTCTTAGCAAACCCATGCAGGCTGGTTGCTGAGTAGCAAAAGCACCCATGTGGAGTTACAGTGCCAAATAGCTGTTGCGTTTTAGTTTCTCACTTAGGTCATTTTATAGCAGCTTCCCCACTGGGGATAAGCCATAAAAAGCAAGCGGGAGTACAAGGATACATCTTTATGTTTACTACTGGATCTCATTTTCCTTATAAATTAATTTTGTGCATGGCTTTAAACCCACCCCCTTACTTAGAAGATGAATTGTGTGTCTAAAACAGGTTATCTTTTCTCTCGCACTAGAGGATCAGTTAAGAGGGAAGTTTATATTTTACTGAGGAAGGTGCCTTGAAAACAGACTTCAGAAAAAAAGGAAAAAGAAAAAGGGGTATCCTTTTCATGCAAAAGGCTAACAGAAACTATGTCCATTGGTTTCTCACCTTATCCTGTGTACTGAAATAACATTCCTAATGAGGACAAATGAAGGTGCAATGCGGTGCATTAAAACCTTTCAAGAATCAAAGAGTGCTTAAAAAAAACAAATGGGCAAACTTCATTAGTGAACACATAGAAGTTCAGTCTGTCCCCCAGGAAATCTGCTTTTAGCCAGTTCAAGAGATACCTGCTAAAGTGCAAGATACTGGTTTGCAGTTTAAATATCATGCTGGTTAGCACCTTTTCTGCTCTACAGTATAAGATGTTGTGTATCTTTAGACAAGTCCCTCAACCTCTTGCTTCCCATTTCTGCCAGTAAAATTGGGAACTTTCAGAGATTTGAATGTTTGGCTTGGAATAGGACAGCAGACCTTGTTCTCTGCTTAGGTGCAGGGCAAATTCTGTACATGGCTGTGTTGGCAAAAGTAATTATGGATTTCTTTTAATCCTAAACAAGAGAAAAAGTCCATGATTGTAGAGCAGAAGAATGGTTGACATGGAAGAAATCTTTTAATAACAAGGAACTGTTTAGTTTGAGAGCAGTTAAGGGATGTCTGTGTTATTGTCAAGAATTTTGATGGCTTCTTTTTCACATCTGTTAAATATTCAGCATGTGTTTTTAGCAATCTTTACCCTTTTTGTGAGGTTGAACGGGTCTGATTGGATTTTATGCAGTTAGTGTACTGTGAGAGTTTGTGAGGATTTGCTTCAATTCTGAGATGATTTCTCTTTGTCTGCGTGTGGTTTTCTTCAAATATCTGAGCAAGTGCATCATGATGGCAAAAGCATTTGAGGAAAATAAATGTCAAAATCCCATGTCCTGCTACTGCTGGAAATGAGAATTTAGCTAAGATCTGCCAGCTTTCATAGTAAGAATTCTTGTGTGCTTTTCAGAAAATAGAAGTTTAGTTTTTAGGGAATAGATAAGTCTTGTCTGTTTGGGGTGTTGAATTACAGAAAGCAAAGGCATTTAGAAAGCCTTCACTGAATATGCTCAGAAAAAAAATCACAGCGGGTTGTGGTTTCTGAGAGCAGGAAAAAGGCCAATCTTATGTCATAGGCTAATAAAATGTATTAAGCATGAAGTCAGTAAAAGTTCTGTAGGAAATCCTCTGAAACTGGGGAGGAATAGCAACCTAGAGTCGACATTCTTAGGAAAATAAAAAGTTAAGTAAAATATGAGGCAAAATTACATTTGGACCCCGTTTGTATTGTAAAAAAACTTGGCAAAGGCTGAGTATCGTTCAGAAAGGAGAATCGCTTGCTGTGAGTAAGCTCTGCACAGCTCTTCTGTGAGATGAGGTCCTCCACAAACAAGTCACAAAACATTTCCTCGGTGCACACATTTTTAGTACTGAGAAGTTTGGTCAGAAAGTAAAAGATTACTAAATGAATGATTCCAAGTGTTTTCTAGCAAATATTTGCTTTAGGAGATGTCTAGCTTTGGGAGATGCACTAACCCAGAAACATGGTTTCCAGCTCCCCTGGTTGGAAGGACCATTTCAAGCAGTGAATTGAACACAAGCCCATGGGGAGCTCCTTCTCCAAGCCCGAGTGTGGCCTGAAAGGGACGTTTTGAGGGAGGCATGAGCTAACCCTCTCCTGCAGTGAGCCCAGTGCCAACCTCAGCAAGCCACAGACAAAGAGGAATAGAGAGCATGGAAACGCTACAGTGGTGTCTCACAGTGGCACCTCTGGGGAACTGAACAATGTTTGTGGAGTCTGAGACCAGTGCATTTCTCCATTGATCTGTTTGCTCTCTCACTGGGGAGGACAACTGTTAATGCAGCAATTGCACACCACTGTTAGAAGCCTGGTTTGCCTTTATGCTGGGTAGCATTTTATAAGCTTTCAGAAGGTAATACCTCCAGATTATGGTCTTTGCTGTGTGAAGATTAAGCCATTCTGTGACTTAATTGCTCAAAGTCCTTGCCCACATTTGCTCTCACTGGTAGCAGATTGCTGCAGGTGAAGCTGTTGCATGTGAGAGCTTTCTCCTGGCTCCCCTTTCCTTCCAAGTGTGCAGGAGAACTGTGCCCTGGTGTGGCATCACAACACTGGAAACCAAAAGCTTGAATTTGTGCTGGATGAGTCACTGTCCGAAAGAGGAACATTTAGAGGAAAGCAGCTGATTGTTTAAGGAATGGCTATGAGGAATGGGATTTGACTTGCCGTTTACCTTAGAACCATTAATCAAAAAAATCAAGTATTCAGTGCTTCTGAAATCTTCCTACCTGTTTCCATGAGATCTTTTTACTCCGAGTTGCTGAATGATGATATTACTGCATTTAGACTATTTTTTTTGCTATAGATGCAGTTGGATTGGTAGTTAAAGCTTGAAAATCCCAGTTGAAAAACTAATTATCTCCATATATCCCAGAAACAAAACCTTTGGGGGCTAATTTAGATTCAATGTTATCATGCTGACAACTTCTTATCAGCCCTCACTTCACCCTTCCTCCTCTATCTAGCTCAAAGGGTTTGCATTCACGGTTGCAGGTGAAACTCTCTGGCACTCCCATGGTCAGGGAGGACATGGTGGGATGCATCGCTCGGGAGATGGCACTTTCCCTCTCTCCGACTTGGTGGATTGATATGTGATGGACTGATACATGGTGAGACGTAGTTGCGAACCAGGAAATGTGAAAATAGATTGCACAGCAGGGGAGGAAAGGGTGCGAAAATCTCATGCTGCTGCCAGGTACCTTCCTAGTGTTTGATGAGCTGATCCATATGGCTTGAAAATCAATTCTCACCTTTTGCCTTGTAGTGCACATGTAGCAAGGGTGAGAGCTCATTATTTCACCCATGTCAACACCTGACAGAAAGGATGAAAGGGATTTATACCCGTCCTTGTAACAGATCCCTAAAATCTTGTCCTCAAGCCTGTATTGCTTTCCTTTTTACACTGGGAGAGTCCAGTCTAACCTGAGCACTCATGATCTTTGCTGGACAGTGTGCCAGAAGCTGGATTTGATCTCAATTTCCATAACATGGAGCAACTGGATCCATCTTTAACCTGGGGGTCAAGCAGGCGAGGACCTCCAGGCCTGGCCGTCTCTGAGCAGGGAGCAGGGCACACCTCCTGCCCTCCCCGTGATTTACCGCTGCCGTGCGGGGAAGTTCTCTTTCCACTCCAAGTATCTCATGCATGCTTGTTTTTGTTAGGGGAGGATTGCTTGGAAAAGCACCTAGAAAGCATCCTCCTCCGTTTGGCCACTCGTACACTGCCGAGGCACTGCTGTGGGGCTGTGGGGGACAGGCAGCACGGTCCCCTGCCCCGGGAGCGCGGGTGATGCTCTCCTGGCGCCAGCCGATGGTCTCGCTGGCCCCTTCCCGTGGGACGCGTACACAGCTCTGCCCGAGCGCCGTTCGCGGCCGTTCCCGCCGCAGGCGCCGCTCCCGGGCGGTGTTTCCGGGGCGCTCCCCGCCCTGCGGGGGGCGCTGCCGCTCCCGCCCCCGCCCGGCCCCGCCGAGCGCCCGCTGCCCCGGGGCGCGGGGCCGGCGTCGCGCCCTCCCCATTGGCTGTCGATGACATCACCGCCCCGCCCCGAGGGCCCGCCCCCGCGCGCTGATTGGCCGTCGCGGCCGCCCGTCGCGGCGGGCCCCGCCCCCGCCGGGCCGTACATTTACGCGGTGGCAAAAGAGAAAGTAACGAGGATGGTGCGGGCGGCGCGCGGGGCAGCGGGCGCGACACGCACCGGCACCACCACCACCAGCGGCGGCCGCCGCCACCAGCACCGGTGTCACCGTCACCGCCACCACCACCATCGCCGCGCACCGGGCCGGAGCGCGCCGCGCCGGTGAGTGCGGGGCAGCGGCGCGGAGCGATGCGGGGCGCGGAGCGGAGCGCGGCGGGCTGCGGGAGCCCGCGCAGGGGCTGCCGCGGCGGGGAGCACTGCTTGGCGGCAGCGGCCCCGGCTCCCTGCGCTCGGGGGCAAAACTTCAGCTTCCCGCTTCTCGTGTGCTCTTCAGTTGTTTGCCCTCGCCGAGCGAGCCGGGTTGTCTCCCTCGCTTATTTAAATTTTTCAGTTGCGTCAGGCGAAGGCGCTCAGGGATCTTTTATCCGCTTTCTTATCCTAAAAAGAAAAGCGAGGGGAGGTTTGGGGAAAGAATGGGCTGGGAAGCCTCACGGGTGAGCCGCCGGCAGCCCCGCTTTGCCCGACCCGGGCACCACCGCCGTGCCCCGGGCGGGCGGGTCGCGGCTTCTTTCCCCGCTCCGGAGGTGCGCGGGTTCGCTCCGTACAGCGGTGGCTGCTGCGGGTGGCAGTGCCCCCGACCCGCCGACATGTGGATGGGGCATCTCCTTGCCCCTTGCCGACGGGCCCGGTGCGGAGCCGGCTGCGCGGGGCTGCGAGCGCTCGCACCGCTCCGGGGGTTTGATGGAGTTGGCGAAGTTGGTGCTGGGATGTGTTTTTCAGCGAGAGCTGCGGCTGCTCCCGAAGTTGCTGCTGAAGGAGAGACACTGTCAGGGCTGGCTTAGGTTGTTTTGCTCTTGTCGTCTTCCTTCCCTCCCGAGTGGAAATGGGGGGATTCTAAACCTGCGCGCTGGATCTTAGCAAATGAGAAGGCAAAGGCTGGGCAGGCAGTGACCTTGATTGGGGCAGAGGGGACCCCTTTTTGTAGAAGCTGTGAATTGTGGTGGGGAGCAGGGAACTTGCCTCATGGACTGCCGGAGAACAGCAGCCTTTCCGGGCCTGGAGCAGGGGGCTTCACTGGGGCTGGATTCACCTCTCTCTCTAGCAGGGGGATGGAAGTGCAAGGTGTGAACTTATTTTTTTAAAAGGATCTCCGGAACCCGATTTTCTCCTTTTCTTCTGGGTGTTTTTTGTTTAGCCTCATGTGTTCAAGTTTGTAACTATCTCAGGAAATTTGTTCACAAGCTAATTTTATTCCATCTTGCTGGAAAAGTTGTGTATCACCACTGACACATTCAGCTATTCAGCTCTTATGCGTTCCTCCCAGTAGTAGAGTCAGCCCAGTAGTTTCTTCCCTTGCAGTAAGCAGCGGGATGAGAGAATGTGCCCTTGTCATTATCAGTAGTGTGCCTTGCAGCCTGGGGTTTCAGAATAGCTCAGCACCATCTGCATGTAGCCAAATGCCTCCTCCTGGGTGTAGCTGCACATCCAGGCTAGTTGCCTGTGTTCTGCGTGCCATGTGTGCACATGCAGATAGCTGAAGTATTTGCTGCAGGATTGAAAAGGCTTTTTAGCAACTACTGTCAGAAAGGGCTGTTAGGTTGAGGATAATGGGTCTTGGCAAAGTAAGTTGTCCTATCTGTAGGTTTATGTTGATTTCATGATCTGTTTTCATCACCTGTTTCTTCTTTCCCCTCCACTTTTTCTTTTGCAGGGTGATCTTGAGTTCTTCTTAACTTGCTAGTGCTCAGCCTCCTCATGCCTCCGTCTCCTCTAGACGACAGGGTAGTAGTGGCACTTTCGAGGCCAGTGAGACCTCAGGATCTCAACCTCTGTTTAGACTCTAGCTATCTTGAGTCTGCCTCTTCTGCCGGTGAGAGCCACTCCAGTCTGCTCGGCGCAGCTGTTGTGTCCCTAAAGACTGCTAATCTCACGTATATGCCCTCATCCAACGGCTCTGCACGCTCCCTGAGTTGTGGATGCAGCAGTGCCAGTTGCTGCACTGTGGCAACGTACGACAAGGACACTCAGGCCCAAACTCAAGCGAGCACCAGCAGCACCCACGCCGGAGCCTCCACCGCCTGCCCTGCCAACCAAATGGTCAACAGCAATGAGAATGCCGGCAGCCTGAGCCCGCTGGGCGGGGTGGGGAGCCCTGTCTCGGGCACCACCAAGCAACTCACTAGCATCAAAATCATTTACCCCAATGATCTGGCCAAGAAGATGACCAAATGCAGCAAGAGCCACCAACAGAACCAAGGACCTGTCATCATTGACTGCAGGCCCTTCATGGAGTATAATAAGAGCCACATTCAAGGGGCTGTCCACATTAACTGTTCTGACAAGATCAGCCGGAGAAGGCTCCAGCAGGGCAAGATCACTGTCTTGGACTTGATCTCCTGCCGGGAAGGCAAAGACTCCTTCAAGAGAATATTTTCCAAAGAAATCATAGTTTATGATGAGAATACCAATGAGCCAAGCAGAGTAATGCCTTCCCAGCCACTCCACATAGTGCTAGAGTCACTCAAGCGAGAAGGCAAGGAGCCCCTAGTCCTAAAAGGTAATTCGCCTCGTTGCCTGCATGTAGGCTCATAGTTTGCTTTGCAGCATGTACACTCTGCTGTCAGCCTCACTGATGGCTGAACCTTGAAAGCATATGCTTATCTCTAGGAAGGCTTGCGTGCCTCCAGTCACTGGTGGCAAAGCAAATGCTGTTCGTGGACAAATCATGGAGCTGGTAGCAGGGAGATGCTTGCTTTTCTCTGAATGTTGTCCTTGAGTAGCAGGAGGGGTGGGAACTGGAAGGAGGAGGAAACGTGCTTCCTGGTGTCTGTGCAGACAAAGAATTTCCCCCATTGCTTGTTCTGAGTATTTATAGCCCAAGGAGCAGAGGTCCAGGAGGGGTTAGTTCTCATTTATCTTGTCAGACTGACCTTTACTTAGCAGCCTTATTTTAGTCTGTATAAAACTGAACTTATAGGTGCTGGAGATGGGCAGTGAGATTGGAGAAGGAAAGACAAGGGAAGTCACTTGGTCTGAGGCATTTTGTCATGGACCAGTCAGCAAAACTTGAGCAATCAAGCCTTGTTTTGGTGGTATGAGGTGAGAATAATGGACAGAGGGAAATACTGAAAAAAGTAATCTGAAAGTGTTGTGTTTACATGTATATGTGTTTATATATGTGTATGGCTTTCCTGTAAAGGTTCCTGTTTTAATGTGGTGTTTGGTTTATCCCTTAATGCTTTGGTGGAAACGAGCCCCACCAATTAAGGCAGCATCAAAGGACAGTTCCCTTTCTTCACTTCATTCTGTAGATCCTATTTATAACAATGCTGCCCTCTAGATTGAATTTCCTTTCCCTTGGGTGTTTATGCCATTCGGAGGCATGGTTGGCAGAGACTGGCTGTGGCACTGAGAAACTATGGAGGGATTTGCTGCTTAGCTCATACTGTATGTATTTAATTCGCTTAAATTTTTCTGTGCAGCTTACTACTTCCAACCTGCCCAATGTGGCAGGAGAATGGATTGGGCTGATAGTTTATCCCCTTTCCTCAGTTGAGTTTCTTAGCTTTGTAGGAGCTAAGGGTCCTGTGAGATACTTCTGTGTGGGTGTATCTTTTGGAAGCTTAAAACTGCTGAACTGTCTCCTTGCTCCCAGCAAGTGTATGGTCATGCTGGGCTTGCTTTGATACTTGCTGCAGGTTCCCTATATGCTTTTATTGAGTCTCTTGGGTTATGGTGGTGACCTTCATCTGTAAAAGAGGGAGATGAGGTGCTTAGCAGAGGGAGATTGTTGCTGGAGTCCTGTATTTCTGGTGGTAATCATTCTGTTCTACAGCCTTTGCCACTAGATATGTGGTTGTAGTCTGCAAGCCTTCCTATCCTCAGAAAAATGGTATGCTGAAAGTGTTTTCAGAGGAACATGGGGGAAAACACTGAAGCTTCTGTGGACCTCAGACTGGTACTTTTTCAGTACCTGAAGTAAGATCCTGATGGAGATGAAGCTGCAGAGCTGTAGTTGGGCAGCACTGAACTGTTGAGTGCTGTGGGCAGGTTTTGGCCAGCCCTTTCTCCCACCTTCCAACTCTGGGTGCTGCACTGGGTTTGACCAACTGCTTGTGAGAGTCCTTGGGCCATTTTTGGTTTTCAAACATTGAGAAATGTTAGCATCTACCTAAGAGACCTGCTTAGCAGAAATCCCTTCCCCAAACTGGTCTGCCAACAGATCTGGAAGCATGCCAGAGGAGAGAGAAGACCCAAATCCTTAGCTTTTTCGATGTAGTGATCATCTGGGTCAGAGCAAACCCCACCTGGGGGAGCATATAGTGAGGAGCTCCCCCTATCACCTAAACTCCCTTCCTCTTCTTTGAAGTGGAGCTCAAACTGGGGTCAAATGGAGTTGAGCATGGGATAAAGCAGCATTTAGGAAGGCTGCTATTAAGCTTCTGAGCGGGAGGAGTGGTGCTGGAACCACTCGTTATTTAGTTTCACTTGACAGTTAGTGTTTTTTCCATGGTGCTTCGACAACCTGGGAGCTGGCACATGCACATACCTGGATTCAGGCACTAAAATGAAACTGAGGGTGGCTGGGGAGCCCTCTTTGCCTACGTTTGTTATTTTGAGTGATTTCTCTTGCTCTCTGCTATCTGCTCCTAATTTATTGCCGGCCCATCTGATCCCCTGTGTTGTGTTTGCAAACAGTGGTTGCTAGCCAGGCTGTCCAAGTTTATGTCCCCCTGATCTGGTGCCACCTTCTCCATGTTTGGTGCTGCCTGTCAGCCCGTGGCCCCATTGCCGTTTTCGTGGCACGGTGTCACGTTGTGGGGTGAATCCGATCGGCAAAGCCGAGGGTTGGGTTACATCTTTGGCTGACAGCACGCTGGGGTAGCGATGTGGCCCTGTGTGCATTTAGTTTTTAGGTGCCCCAGTCTTTTTAAGCAGCAGAGAAATTCTGTGCTGTTCTTCAAGGCCAGGCTGTGATCTACAGATAAATGTATGTATGGTGTACCTTATTAGGTTCAAGTTAAAAAGAGGTGGCCTGATGTATTTTTAATGTAGCAGACCAATATATAAACTAGCATTGTGACAAGAGAGGGTTTACGTATGCTGTGGTATAGGGGGATTTTAAAACCCGTGTTCCTCCCTTTCTGTTCATTCCTCTCTTTGCTGCTTCCTTTAACGTAGAGCATATTTTTGGTCATAAACATAATATATGCATAATTTTGATTTAAGCTCTTTAGAAGAAAGATTTTCATGTTTTTTTGTTCACAAGGCATAACAGCACTTGAGACAGACATAACCCCCCTACTTTTACGAAGAAAATAAGCCCATAAGAATCCTGCATTTCACGGGCTGTAGCAGGCTGAGCTATCAGGGCTGAAGCTGCTGCTTAGCCTGTTTATATGCAAAATAGGGAGAAGTCATGTTTCCCCCAACACCCAGTCACACCGTACTGGACCCTGGTATTGCATGCTTGCTGAAACCCAAAGGCCTCACTTTTTTGGATGCCTTTTTTTTTCTATTTTTATTTTTTTCTTAGCATTGGAAAGGAAAGGGAGCAAACCAATGATGTGAGCCCAGTGTCCCTTCTGCTTGAGGTGAATGTCAAAGCTGTTGCTGAATTTGGGGAGGGAGAGAGCATGGCTCTGTGACCCTGGGTGGGATCAGCAGCCCTGACCCTCTTTGGTGGGATTGTGCTCCTTTCCCTCCTGCAAACCCAATGGTGAGGGATCTCTACCTTCCCTGAGCACTTTGGCTCAGAGGAAGTGGCCTGGAGTCTTGAAGGCTTGTGTGCTAGAGTTTGCTACTGGGATCTAAAAATAGAAAGTGGGAAATTCATTTGCATTCAGACGAAAAGTGTTATTTTTACCCTAAACTAAAATGGTTAGGTTTGGAGTTCAGCATTTTTTTTCCAAGTTAAATTAAATCTACAAAGGAAACAAAAATGAAAAATTGAAGCATCTGTGCCAACACATCTTGACAACTTTCAACACAAAAGGAGTTGCCTTGGTGTCCCTGACCACTGTCTGGTAGTATTGTCTCCATCTTGCTGTTCCTCCTCTACCTTTGAGGCCCGGCAGTGGGTGCCTTGAGAACCTGCTCAAGTCTTGTGTTTAGTTTGTAAAGGCTTCTGTGTTTGACTGCAGGGTAACAACTGAATTCAAAAGCAGAGGTGCAAAATGTAGTTTGGCAAATAATTAATTCTTTTTCTTCTCCTTACATGCTGTAAACTGATGGCTGGACTGCTGCAAGGGAGATGGAGAGGAACTGACTGGTTCCTCCTCAACAACTGATTGATTCTCTGTTCTTGTTCCCAGTCTGAGGAACTTATTTATGCTCTGGCTTTCAATCTTCTCACTGCTCATCTAACAGGGAAATAAATGAAGCAACTTGCTCTCATTATAGTGGGTAAGACCTGCCAACAAACCACTTCATGCTTTCTGCCATGGTCTAAGAATAGCTTCAGATCTCTTACCACACCAGAGTCACATATCAGCAGAGTTGAAACAACTACAGAGGGCCTGAGGTGCCTACACAAGGAATAAGTACCTGGTTTATGTTCCCCCATGTTTGTGTAAAATACTGTGAGCAGCTGCCTTAGAAATACCTGACCTTGTCATAATCTGTGCAAATATATCATTTATTGTTATTATTATTAGCTGTATAATTCAACAGTGTCAGTGTTGCTTTAAATCCTAATTGGATTACACTGCACTAGACTATTTGAAAGTAAAACTTGATGTAATGGTCAACAAATCCAGCTGACCAACAAAACATGTGCCTGGCACTTATTTCCACCAGAGATCTCCACTGAATAAGTATTAGGTCATGGTTGTAATAGGGAAATGTGTAGTTTTAAACACATTGGATGTCTCACATGCATTACTTAACATTTAAAAATAAAGCGTGTTCCCTCTGTGCTGCAGAGGAAATCTGGCCCCATCAGTCGCTAGGGAAAAAACTTCTGCTGGCTCTATTGAGGCTGAGGTTTCACCTTCAGTTTTCAGACTGATTGCTGGAGCTTAAAGTATCTTTCTACTGGAATAAATAATCTTGGCCATAATACTTGAAAATTGATTGTGTGTCTGCACCTTTGGCATATAGATAAATTGGGGCGATTGTGTGGTTGGACACCGCGGTCTTTACTGTATTTTGAGGGGATACTTCTGCAGAGTAGTGTACCTCTAAACTTTGCCTATTCATCAGTAATGGAAAGAGTGGCATTTCCTCCCAGATAATGGCATCTGAGAGTTTGAAGAGCTGGCTTACAGGGTACCTATCACATTTAAACTGTCCTTGGAGGGAAGAGAGCAATGACACTGCCTTGGAACAGGAAGGAGGTTTGTTTTTTGGTTTTGTTTTGTTTTCCTTTTTTTGGCTCTCTAGTTTGTCCTACCCTTGGAAACTAAACTAAGAGTTAAGCAAACTGTTACATTAAGCAGACATCTCTGATGCTTGTAAAGAAAAACTGCTCCAGTTCTGTGTGAACTGGGGGAACATTCCCTGTGATGTTCCTGATAGGTAGATGTTGGATTATAATTAGCTGAATCCTTCATGTGC